GACCTCACGGCAAGATGCAACCGTTAGACATTCCCGTGTGGAAATGGGAGGATATCACCATGGATTTTGTCACCAAACTCCCTAGGACCGCACGCGGGGTGGACTCGATATGGGTAGTAGTGGATCGGTTGACGAAGAGTGCCCATTTTATTCCTATTCAGGAGAGTATATCGGCGGAAAAGTTAGCCGATATCTATGTGCGAGAGATTGTGGCACGTCATGGAGTGCCGGTATCGGTGGTGTCGGACCGAGATGTTCGTTTCACGTCCAGATTCTGGAAGCGATTCCACGACGAGATGGGTACTCGTCTCCATTTCAGCACCGCTTTCCATCCTCAGACTGACGGGCAGAGCGAGAGGACGATTCAGACTCTTGAGGACATGCTTAGGGAATGTGTTCTAGATTTTGGGGGCAGTTGGGATATGTATCTTCCGTTAGCGGAATTCTCGTATAACAACAGTTACCATGCGAGTATTGATCGACCTCCTTTTGAGATGCTGTATGGTAGGAAGTGTAGGACCCCGATTTGCTGGGGCGAGGTCGGTCAGCGAGTCATCGGGAGCACCGAAGTGGTGCTCAAGACGACTGAGTTGATCCAGCAGGTCCGTAGTAGGCTGCAGACTGCGCAGAGTCGGCAGAAGAGCTACGCTGACAGGAGGCGTTCGGACTTGGAGTTCCAGGTGGGAGATATGGTTCTTCTGAAAGTCTCACCTTGGAAAGGTGTCATCAGGTTCCGGAAGAGGGGCAGGCTGGGCCCCAGATTTATTGGTCCTTTCAGGGTTATGGCCCGGGTGGGTCGGGTTGCTTATTGGTTAGATCTTCCTGAGGAGCTTAGTCAGATTCACAACACTTTCCACGTGTCGCAGTTGAGAAAGTGTCTGGTGGATGAGTCAGCAGTCGTTCCCCTAGAGGATATTCAGATTGATAGCAGCCTGAATTATATTGAGAGGCCGGTCGCGATTCTGGATCGGAAGATCAAGACCTTGAGGAACAAGGTCATTCAGCTAGTGAGGGTGTAGTGGCAGCACCGGAAGGGATCTGAATGGACGTGGGAGGCTGAGGAAGAGATGAGAACGCACTACCCGGAGTTATTCGCAGATCCAGCCGTAGCAGACTTCGAGGATGAAGTCTGAGACAAGTGGGGGAGAATTGTAACGACCCGTTCCCGGTATGTTAATTAATTGTTAATTGTCTAAGTTTTCAAGAGGGACTCGGCGAGTTCTAGCCTGACTCGCCGAGTTGGGTCGCGTATTTTGTGCACGCGGGAGCCGGGGACTCGGCGAGTCCATATCCCGGACTCGGCGAGTCCGTCCGTCTGGGTGAAACCCTAAATCCCCGAGTTTGCCCACTATTTAAACCACATTATAGCCTCATTCTCGCCACTTTCACCCTGAGAACACAGTGAGAGAACCCTAATCCTCCCTTGAGAGCTTATAAGTGATTTGGTGCCATTTTTGTGAAGGTGTGAAGAAGGAGAAGAAGAAAGAAGCAAGGAAACGAGTTGTAGTGCAAAGATCCAAGGGCAAATCTGAGTCTATTGAGGTATTTTCGGAGTTCCCTTCTTGTTATATGCTTTAAACTTCCATTAGAGCTCTTCTAAGAGCTATTTGATGTTTGTTCCAAGCCTTATGGTTGCATGAATGTCTTAATAAGTCGAAATACCTTTGGATCTGAATGTTGGGGTGTTGTAGAGCTCAGATCTACTGTCTTTTTGGAGTTACATTGCATATTAGCCATGGATCTACTCATTTTGTGCATCTTTTAGCCCTATTTCCCTTATTCATGAGGTTGTGCACGTAAAGTTGGAAACTTTACGTGGTAAAACAGCTTATTGGACCCAGATCTATCATTTGCATGTGTTGGATTCAAGAGAAATCGAGTAAAAACTAGCTGCATGGCAGCGACTCGGCGATTCGGGATGAGCGACTCGGCGAGTCGGGTCGCGAGTCCCCGATTCCTTCGTTTTTAGCAGTGCCGAGTGCACCCAGTGAGTTAGAGAGTGGACTCAGCGAGTTGAGGGTAGACTCAGTGATGGAGGGACTCGACGAGTTGTTCATACAACTCGGCGAGTCCAAGGCAATCTTCTTGGGGATCAAGAACAACTCGTCGAGTCTGTTCATACGACTCGGCGAGTCGGATGAAGATTGTCTGAGTTCTTGGATCCAGAGGGTACTCGTCGAGTCGATGCCCCACTCGACGAGTAGCAGCGTGAAGAGCTGAGAGATGAGATTAGGACTCGGCGAGTTGGGTAGCCCGACTCGGCGAGTCAGCCCAGAGTGAGTTGACTTTGACCAAGGGTAAAAGAGTCATTTTACCCCAAGTGCAGTGTTTAGTATTTGATTGAGTGTGTTTATGGACTTGTAGCCGAGGAGATTCAGGAGCAGCCGCCGTTAGCTTCCGAGCCACACACTCAGCAGCCAGCTTACGAGGTGAGTTTCCTTCCAGTAGGAACGGGTCTAAGGCCACAATGCCGGCCCGTTCAGTTAGCAGTAGTTTCCGGATTTAGGTCCGATGCAGCAGTTAGTATGTTCGATGCCTTCGTGGTTCGAACAAGATTTGTGTGCTATGTTTTATGTGTTAAGTATTATGTGTTCCGGGCCACGGCCCGATGTAGCATGTCGTATATGTGTTATGCTAGTTGATGTGTTATGCCATGCCATGTTCAGTCAGACAGTTCCGGACTTCGGTCCGATGCAGTTAGTTCCGGACTTCGGTCCGATGCAGGGGACAAGGTCCCAGTCAGTTCCGGACTTCGATCCGATGCAGTCAGTTCCGGACTTCGGTCCGATGCAGTTTCCGGGCTTCGGCTCGATGCAGTGGGTAAGGCCCAATATGTGTTTATATGTTATTGTATGGTATGTGGTATTTTGGGGGAGCTCACTAAGCTTCGTGCTTACAGTTTCAGTTTTGGTTTCAGGTACTTCCGCAAGCAAAGGGAAGAGCTCGGGATGACGGCATCGCACACACCACCGCCTCAGCTTTAGCCTGGGATTGATTTAGTTGTTTGATTTGATGTAGTATGATACAGTTTTCCGCACAGTATCTTATCATGTTTTGGAATACATCACGCATGGTTTTATTATATGATACTCTGATTACAGTTTTGATTATATTAAAAACAAAAATTTTTGGGTCGTGTTTTTGGGTCGTTTCAATATATATATATATATATATATATATATATATATATATATATATATATATATATATATATATATATATATATATATATATATATATATATATATATATTAGTTGTGAGATCCATGTATTACATTTTTTTTGGAAACGGCAAATGAATTAGCGGAAGCCTCTACCCAATATTTCAGAGTAAACCCCGAGTTCGAGCTCCGCAAAGCGGGCAAACCCAGCCCCCATGGGGATTTCCAGGGAAAATTCCCCCACATATGGGGCATATTTGCAAGAGGCGCACAAAATGTGCTTTACCGGGTTTGAAACCCCAACCTCAAACCCACATGGGGATGTAAACCCAATGCATCAAGCCAGTTGAATTGGTCATCACTTGCAGACTCATGTATTATATGAGTTAATTTAAAAAAAAAAAAAAAAAAAAAAAAAGTTAAATATGAAGGTCTTAATAATTAAGAACTTTGAATTTATAAGAAAATAAGAAAAATAATGAATTATTAAAATTCAAATGTTTTTTATCTTTTAAATTTAAACAAATGAACAAAAAAAACTAATAAACTTCAAATTAACAATTTTAAAATTAGAATGTAAGCTCATTAATGAAATTGATATTCATTTATTATTATATTTATTACAATTATTACATTAAAATATTATATGAAATTTAATAAAATAAAATAAAAACCCAAATTGAAGGAGTGAATGCCATGTGGCAAAAAAAAATTATTTATTAGGGATGATATATATATATATATATATATATATATATATATATATATATATATATATATATATATATATATATATATATATATATATATATATATATATATATGATTAAATAATTAAAAAACAAAGACTATCCTTGGAAAAGTTTTCTCTCAGTTTGCTTGTTAATTAACAAGTTTTTGTGAAAAAAAAATTCAACCGAAATCCGCTAACCTAACCTAGTAGATAGAAGTTTTGGCTGAGATTTTCAACCCGTTTAATTAAATTGATCAACTCGTCTAACCCGCTAAATTAAATGGTTTGGTTTAGAGTTGAAATTCCCAAATTTACAATCGCACCAACTACTTTAAATATTTTAAATATATTTTAATGGTTATTTATTTAGTATTATTATTTAAATGATTATTATATTTTGATTACTTTTTATTTCTTAAGAAACATGGATAAGTAACTATTATTGGAAGTCGAATTGGTAAAATATAAATATCGAGTTACATATAATTTAAAATTTAAACATTTATAATGTTTTATGGTTGTAAACAATTTATTTGTGTTTATAATATTAGACTTGTAGCTTTATTGGTTTATTATTTTCAAACTTGAATAATTAAGGTGTTATTTAGTTTTATGTTATTTTATCCTAATGAATTTTTATTTTTGAGGGTTTTTTTTTGTCATTTTAATTTACATTGGTCAATCGTCGATTTCAATCTATTTACTTAAAAGGTAAAGGTTGAATGAGATTGAAAATTTTCTATACGTTTTCTTAAACAAGTTGTATCATTGGATCGGATCATTTAATTAAACACGTGAACCCACACAACCCATTGCCACCCTAAAAAAACATCCCTTGCATTCAACTAAAGGTGCTGAAATGAAACCCATGTCTTTAACCGGTTATAACCAGACCTGGGCCTAAGACTAATTTTAACCTTTTATAATTAAATCTTAATTGATAATTAAGTAATTAAGTTTCATAGATAACAAAGAGAAAATGATCGAACATGTACAGAAGAATGAAACAAACAAGCATATCATAGAAGATGAGAGAGAGAGAGAGAGAGAGAGAGAGAGAGAGAGAGAGAGAGAGAGAGAGAGAAGAATGAAAGTAATGAGTGGGCTCATGAATCATCATCTCCTTTGATGTTCATGGTCAACACCCTACAAGACTTTCCATGCATGGAACACTCGGTATCAATCTCATGAACCAAAGACTTGACATTAAAAGGGCATGGCAATGGCAGTGGCTCTTCAAACTGAGATGGCTGAGTCCTCATCTGCACAGACCTCAACAATGCAGCCCTCCGCAAGTCAGCAGAGTGGCATATGTCACTTGGAGATGAAGGGAACCGCCCTTCTGAGTCGGATCCTCTTTGCCTTGCCTGTGAAGCTGGTGGTGGTGGTGGGTAGTAACTGCTGGTGGTGGTGGGTCCAGGTGAGAAGGTGCTTGGAAGCTTCTGGAATCTGTAAGGAGAAACTGGGCTGGTTGGTTGGCTATCTGTTTGTGATGGTGATGGTGATGGTGAGCATGCATTGCTTTCACAGTATCTGAACTCGTCCAGGTCTTCTGACATTGGTGAATACTGCAATGCCAGTTCATCCCTGAAATCAGAAAACACAACAAATTTTTATCAAATTCAAGTTTCTTTCTTTCTTTCTTTCCTTCTTGATAATAAAATAAATAGAGTGAGTGAGAGTTTGTTTGCCTTAGATAAAACATGCTGTCAGATCTTGCTGGAGAATCCATCAGGTTTTCAGGAAGGGGGTCTCCCACTGATAGCCCATTTAAGCTGGAAGCCATTATCTACACAATATCTTAGTTACAATATGTATGTTTTACTACATCTTGATTATTGTTATTATTATTAGATTATGATTTATGAGTATTTAGTATCACATAATCCCTCTAAACCTAAAGATGCTTTGAAATGGCAAAATAGATGATATGATGGAACAAAATTTCAATGGTTTTCTTTTTGTCACCTAAATAAGAAAAAGATCATCAATAGACTAGTAACAACTGCATAATCTCCTCAAACTGATATAAGATATCACAAATCCAATAGCCAAATAGTTAACAGGATGGGGTTTAGTTCACAAGCAACAAAGCATTTTCATTAGTGAATAATTAAACTCACCCAATTTGGATAAGTGATTGGATTAGGGTGGGGGGATGTAATTGATATGGCCATGAGAATCCAAGTATGTCATCGATCATTTTTCCCAAAATGGCTAGAAGGTTCATTGATCAAATTCATCTACTTTACCCCCAAATTCTATAAAATTTCTTCAGATATACTAGAAAAGATGGTATACGATCTAACACAATCGTGAATACAGATCAAGAATCAGACATTATTCACCTGGTCCTCATAATCAGTCGGAATTTCGTGGCCTCAAAATATAAACAACAACTTACCTCGCTGAGATAACGTTTATGGGAGTGAAGATTGTCGACGTAAACCTCATCTTCAGGATCCCTACTCCGTTTTCCACTTGGAGAAGCTACTGTGGATGAAGATGGAGAAGCAGTTGCAGACGCAGATACATTTACATGAACAGATTCAGATTCTGACAGAGTTGATGACGTGTTCGTCTCCGAAACCCCTCCTACTCTCATTCTAAGATTTCGAACCACAAATCACAAACTCAAAACATAATCCCTGTATGAAATTAATGCGAATAAGAACAAAATAGAAGATTTGGAAAGAATTTATATAGGAGTGGAGAGGGAAATGACACCGTTACAGTAAAAATCCAAGCTCTATTCAACAATCTCATCGATAACATTTACGAACACATGGCGTTTGTTCGTGAATTTAGGGCTCCGGCCTCTGCCTTCAAAGTTGGGCTATATTTTCCAAGAAACTTTTGGGCTCTATTTTGCACAAAACCAAACATCCGGAACCCTTTTTCAATTGTTGCTTCTATTGACGAGGCCCTCATAAACTAAAAATGTGTTATTGGCCCATAAGAAATATTATATTATATTATATAATATATGATATCATTATGTTTATTATATATATCTACTTATTCTAATAAAAGTTTTTATCATCTTCTTAATTAATTAATGTTATGCTACTTATCAACTTATTATTTCTCCATTTTAAATTTTAAATTCTAAATTTTTCATTCTAATTACAATAAATTAATAATGTTAGAATAAAAATTAAAATAAAGTTAACACAGATTATGAAATTTAAAACTCTAAACTTTTCACTCTAATTACAATAAATTAATAATGTTGGAATAAAAATTAAAATAACGTTAATACAAATTATAAAGTAAGATGTATTTATTAAAATCAACGATTATAATTTTATATAACTCAAAAAACATCTTGTAACTAATAATTACTTAAAATAATTGATTAATAATTTTAAATTTTTATTATTAAATTTTAATTAATTTTATAAACTAGCTTAATAATATAATATAATGTATTCTTTTACCAAATGATATTTGGCATTATCCGTATCGGTCATGGATTTTTTCTTCCTAAAATACCAATTCTAGAAAACACATTACAGTTTTTCTAGAAAGGGTTTTGGAATATTGGTATACCATTAAATTTGTTATATATAGTTTTTCCAATAATATTTTTGAAAATAAAAAACTGCATAATGGTAAATTAATCATGTTTTTTTAAAACCTATCTGCAAAGAGTATGAAAGTAGATTAAATTTTTCTCTTTTACAAACCCATAAAACTAACAAAAAATAAATAATAAAGACAATAACTTGTATATTAAAGTACAATAACATATATCAAGCAATAATAATAACTTGCATTTCTAGAACATATGGAGTACACTGATCTCAAATGCTTTATACTTTATCTCACACATTCATAACTATTTTCTTAAAACATTTTGTTTAAAATTGTTAATCCAAAAACAAACAAGGGTAGGTAAAATAGAGGCAAAAGAAATTGCATAAAACGAGAAAATGTGTTATTAACATGACACGTAAGATCAAACTGATAACATTCAGAAACTGAAAGAGGAAAAAAAAAACTAATTACACAGGGGAAGTTATTGACGAGTTTTATAGTTTTACATAAATACCCTTTACATGGAGAAATCCTGAGACAACACCCCAGAATATAATTTCCAGAAAAACAAAAACCAACTTACCCCATCTCTCAGAATGAAGTGTGGCCTGAATAAACAACTCTGTAGCATTAACCTGTGCATATATTCCAAACGCTGTATAAATTTCATGGAGACATTGATATGAAAAAGAAATATGGTGATAAATGGATGAAAAATTACAATGTTGTTTTCAGGGGAACGCCAATAAACACCTTGTAAAGCTGCTGGAAAAATATCACAAGCAGCTAAAGCATAAACAATCAGAGCATTCATTCCCATCCACTGAAACAACTTTGTGGGCTTTTGAATTTTTATCACATCAACCTTGCATCGCATCACAGGTGGAAAGTGTAAATAATCATTTATTCAGTTACCTAATGACTAAAGCTTCTATTACCACAAACTTACCATATAAAAAATAGCAATCAAGAGAACACCCGATGCTCCTGCTGTGATGCACATGTAACTTAATGTGTATAATGGTTTGGATAAAGGAATACCTGGAACAGATGACATGGCATAAAATATAAAATCCAATATTAACTGAAATTTAAAAGTAAGTAGCAAAAAATAAAAGGATGTTACACCTATCACCATTACAACATATCCCAAGATAAGAAGAGAGGAAGAACACACCAACCATATACCAATCCTATGCATATGACCCTAACATCATTAACAAGAATATTTCAAAAGGATGATGTAATCTGAATCCCAAAATAACGTGTAGCGGGAATGGTAATGAAAGGAAGCATCATACATTCATACCTTATAATGCACCATAACATGTCCATACTGCAACCCCAAGAAGCATGTAATCGCAGCCATTAATGAACTGAAAAAAAAAAAAAAAAAAAAAGGGGAGATAATGAATTAATGATATATACATGTAAAAGATATATTTTGCAATTATGTAAAGCAACCTTAAGAGGCCCTCTGGATCAAATGGAGCAAGACACCAAGAAGGGGCATTTGGTGGGAGGGGTCCATAATCTGGAGAATTGATACTGCATTCCTATAATCACTGGATAAATCAGGTGAACAAACAACAATAACATCTATTAAATCAGGGAGGGGGACCTGTGTTCTCTTGTATACAGGACGTTTATACAGATGGCTTTCACCAAGGAGAAGCCGATCAATCAGGCCAACTGCATTGCAGGGAGGTTCTAGACTACCCCTGACCCCACAGTGTACCTATTATTATAATATTAGATCAAAATAATATGTTATGTTAGATAATAGATTTACAAGGTTTTCAAATATATGTGTAGGACTCACAATTTGAGTCTCCTTCCCATTTTCTGATACTTCAAAGCTCCATTCTGGGACGTAAAGACCATATAACAAAGACATGTATAACACACCTAGTACAAAAACAAACAGCCTGGAAAATTAAGAAAATAGTTAGCTACCATTTCATCTCATCATTTGATAAAAATAAGTGTTTGTTAATTAGGTTTGGAGTTTTGACTTACCACTGAATGTAGTATTTCTTTACAAATGTTATGGCTGAATTGACTTCGTTATTGTTAACACACCATATCTCGGTTATTGAAGCCAGCAGATATCCAATTGAAATCCTCTGTATGAATGAAAAAGTGTGATTCAGTGAGATAAAATTCTTAAACATAGGTACACTATGAAATAGTATCTTTTGGTTTTAATCCTATCCACCTTCTCCCAAAGAAGAGCAACTACTTGATCTAAACTACCTGTAACACGCCCATCCACCTTATCTGGTTGACATCAACACCATAAGTTAGATCATCACGTCCATGGAAGTATCCACCTAGAGGGACATACAAGCAATTAGCATCTAGTTCAAATCAGCATATAACTAGATATGGATGATCAACCTGTTGGAATTACAATCCAGAAAGACTCTAGTACTTGTAATCCATAATATCAATCACTATATCAGAATCAAATCACTAAATGAGTACCTTGAAGAATCAGACCCAAGAGAAAAAGCTTGATAGTTCTGAGTACAACCTTCTTTGTGGCTGCTGGTTTGCTAGAAACTTTCTGCATCGCAATATCAATAACGATTACTAGAAACCATTATCCATGCGATATATTGAGAAAAAATATTATATCAAGCCATGTACTAATCATAAGCCTACATTACATACCTTGAATACAAGACTAACGGAGATACCAACGCTAAAGAGGAAAAAAGGCATCACGAAGTCGGCGAGTGTCACGCCAAACCATGGAGAATGGTTTATCGAAGGGAAAGCTCCTCCGGCGTCATCAACCAAAATCATCAACTGTTAAGTAGTGAATGCAACATCATAAGATTTTCAATTGTTGCGATTCCAATAACTCTAAGAGAAGCAGAAATAGAAATTAAAAATCAGTAGAAAATAATTGGCAGTGTATCTGTAATAGATAAAGGAGGCGATATACGCACGGCAACGGTGAGACCACGGAAAACGTCGAGAGAGACGAGGCGCTGTTTAGGATCGGTAGGTCTAGTAGCAGATGAAGGTCCGTCATGATGGTCCGGTGACGGTGAAGCAAAAGCAGTGATCTCTCCGGCAGAGTGAGAAGAATTTTGAAGTAGGGGACTCCGTTCGTCCGTCTCCGTCATCACCATTGACGCCATTTTTCCTAGTCAAACCTCTAAACTGTCTCTCCTCTTTCTTCCTTCGTTAAAGACAGGAGGGAGACAATGAATTTCAAAAACAGACCCTACACTATAGCATAATCTCACTTTTAGCCCGCTTACTTTTACTTATGTATTTTTAAGCCTTAATCGTTAATCATCATGACAACACCCTATACTTTTCACCTAATATATGTAACGACGTTGACTTGTTACTTTTATACAATTATAGGAACAATTTACCACATAAATTAGTAAGAAGTTACGTGGCTTACTTTGTTGATTTTATAAGGCTCTTTGGTATATTATTCACGTCAATAATGTGACAATCAGTCGTGTGGCTAAATGAACATCACATGGGTCGCTCTTACCAAAAATAAAGGAAGAAATGGTTGTTGAAAAACTTTAAACATTCTTTTTAACATTTCCATTTTACAAGTTTAAATACCAACAACTATCGAATATAATTCCATACTACAACCTTCTTTCTTTATATACTCTATTATTTTATCACCAACAATATAACCCTATAAATATTATATCTTTTATACAACTTTCAGACAACCATTTTATAATTTTAAACACCCTATACAAACACAATTGAAATATGGAATATTCTTCGCCTTCATCTTCAGCCCATGATAATATGAAAATGTTTTTTCAATATTCGTGCAATTGGTAGCCAACATATTGGATCAAGAAGTTGAATGTTCAAATGTCATCAAGAAGACTAGAACTACCATAAACACGGATCGTGAATCTACACACTAATTTCTAGTACGCGATTGCTTTGTCGATGGTTTCTTTTACAACAATAAATCATTCAAAAGTCATTACATATAGCTAAAGATTTGGAAGATAATTATGATTTTTATTATATGGAAACATTGCATTTTCACCAACCCCCACCCTAATTCACCAAGTGTCATGTATTTGGTCAAACTTAGTAAAACAAACAAAGAAACAACACACAAAATGATTAAAAGATAAACCCACCCACCCACCCGTGACACTATAAGTTTTGGACAATGAAGACGTGATGATGGTCCTGGTTTGCGTTTCTGGTAGTGAGGCCATGTTTATATGAGGTTTTCCATTGTCATATGTTATATGTTCATAGACCTGCAGAAACAATGCATTTTCAGAGTCTGAAAGCAAAATAAGAGATTCACACTCATGATTCATGATTCATGATTCATGTATAATTAAGTTATCATCATACTTCTTTCTAAAAAAAACGGCTATGCAATCCTTTGTTATGCAATATTCAGCAATAATCTGTAGCGCTTCCATGTTAAAAACTTTTCCGGTTGGGTTGTGAGGTCTGTGTAAGTGTAACAATTAACAAATGCAAAAGTATAAAAATTCAGAAACATATGATATATGATATATGATATATGATATACCTACCTATTCAGTACCAGAGCTTTTGTCTTTGTAGTAAAACCATCCACAAGTTTGACCTCATTAAGTCTCCAATAACGAGGGTCCAGGTAGGCTCTTTCCTTATTTGCAATAAGCCTTCAGTGTAGAGACCAAATAATATCCATTATAATCGCTAAACCTTTTTAGTCCAGACTGATGTGTTTTTGTTATTTTAGCTTTGCTTGAGCATTTTTACTGAATTGACATAAGCTTCTGTACTTTTACTTTTAGGCATTTTTAAATGTACTTTGTAGTTTGTATCTATAGTCTAAACAAAAAGTGTTTTTTACTGGCTATTGATATCTAATATGCTATTTTTTTTCTCCACATTCTTCTTATTCTTACAGTAACAAATCATACCTGTATCGGTAACTAAAGTAAGTAATTATATTTAATAATAGTTTTTGGTGAATTAGTTTCACCCAATTGGACTTATGTCTAATTTTTATTTGTTAATCATATAATCCTCTTATTAAAAGTCACTTTGATTATCACAAACCCAATACATAGACAATTTAATTTGGTTATTATAGTCAGTGTAAATTTATTATCAATTTTATTATCTTATCGATCAAGACTATATTGAATATTCAATGACTATTATATGTTAACTTATATAGTTAAGTCTTATTTTAATCTTTTAGCAAAATGAGTACAAGTAATTATGTTCAAATAATATAAATTTCACACTTTTTTTATTACAGGATTGGAGCCAAATTAACATTACATTTAAGATGTACGGAACCATTTAGGCTCATTTTTACCACCAAGGAAGAGTTAAGGGCAAAATCGTCCATTTTGTTTTTCTTTTCAATATTGATAGTTTTTAAAATATTAAAAATTATTATTAAATATCAAAAACTATTTAAAAAATAGATTTTAGCAAATCCGATATTTTAAAATGTTAAGAACGACAAATACGATATTAAGGGTATATATATGAAATTCTATATTTTTTTTTATTATGTTTAGGAGTGAGTAAACAAGAGTTGCAATAACTTGTTTGGAATGTTGGGTAAAAACTGGTTATGATTTGAACTTTCTGATTATTAATCGTCAATATAATCAAATTTGGATGTTTGGATAGAAGAAAACAAGTTAATGAGATAGTTTATTACACTATCCCCCAGTTTTAGGACTATTTTGAACGTTGTGATATCAATTTAATATTGCACATACATCCAATTCCAAACACCTATTAATTGCATTTGCGCTGAATGTTTAGATTTACTTGAGGCCAAATGAATATATCTGTATTTGTTAATGTGTAACAGAGGCTATTGTTTGTCATTTGCATTGGTTTGTAGTATTGGACTATTGATTGTATTCAATATATTTTCAAACCGAACGAGGCCAAGTTTTGTAGGTGGACATTTTGTTTTTGTTTGTGTCTGGATAATATATTTCGAGATGGTTTTTCTTTAATGCTCAATATGTAACAAATAATCGTCACGGACTGTGTTGTTGGTTGTTGCAGATTCCAAACTGAAACTAACTCCCGATTAAAGATATGATGAATTCGGCCATAAAAATTAAAATTAGGGATCCAATTCTGGAACAGGTGGAATCTAACAGACCTGTATTTGTTAAAATCGGAGGTGATAGGGGAGACGGCAGCGGCCTTGATATGGGGAGGTGCCGGGAAATCAGGGAAGCCTTCGGCGAGGTTAATGGCGTTGCTACGTTCAGCTAGATAAGATACTTGAAAAAACTTAATTTTATCCGCCCCTACCCTTTAGATATTAACAATTTTGCCACAAATTCCAATTTTTGTTACAATTTGATCCAAAAATTTGTACTTTAAAAAAAAAAAAATAATAAATACAAATTTTGCTCTATTTCTTTTCATATATTTTTTAGGTTTTTTTACTTTACAACTTGTTTTAGATTTTGTATATAACCGTTGTTTTTACAAAATCGTTTTTTATAATTTTTTTACTGATTCATTTTTGTACATGCTTTTTTAGATTTCTTCATTTTTAGATTTTCTTTTTAATAAAAGATATTCTCAACTTATTTTATGTACTAGTTTTTATGAATATAAGATTGTAAAAAAGATATAAATATATGTTTTAACATACTAACTTCCACAAACCATATTTGCACCTTATGTATAACTAAATTAAATCAACCGTATGTTTACCAAATGGACATATAAGACTTGATGGTATGCTAGAAATAGTGGCGGATTTAGGAGGGTTCCGGGGTGGCACCGGCAACCCTTAAATTTTCCGGTCGCAGTGGAAAATATTTCGAAAATTTTTAAAATTTTTATTTTTTCTATTATCGTGCAACCCCTAATCTTCCCGTGGAACCTTTACTATGAAATCTTGCATCCGCCCTTAGCTAGAACCGCATATACCACTTTGAAGACTCGGTAAGGTGGTCATCTTGAATAGAGATGGAGCTAGAATTTTTTAATGAGGGCCTTGAACTTACAAGGTTATATATATATATATATATATATATATATATATATATATATATATATATATATATATATATATATATATATATATATATATATAAGCCATTAGAATAGAGATATATGTTTATATTGTAATTTATAGTCCTATATCATAAAACATATCCTCCCTAATAAATAAAGAACTTTTTGCCACTTGTTAATTTCTTATGCATTTGGACACAAGTAATTTTGTGGTTAATTCTTAAAAATTAATTTTCACTTGTCATTTTATGGTAATTTTTGATTTTCTTAATTAACTATCTAATTTTTAGGTAATAGAAAGTAATTAATGTGTCGTTAATTTGTTTCCTTATATTTTTAAATTTTAATATGTTTTCTTCAATATATATAATTTAAAATTGATATGTTTCTTTTAAAGTTCATTGTCATTTTAAACAAAATGGTCTATATAAAAAAAAATTGTTGCTTTTTATTGGCAAACTAAAAAAAAATGCTATCCGGTCAAAATATAATTATTTTTCTATAGTTTGTTTTATGAATATAAATTTAATTATTTATTTATTCATCATTTTGTTTGTATATATATTTTGAAATTTTATTTTAAAAAATACTTAATATATACATTTTAATATTTAATTTTTTCTTTAAAAAAAATATTTAAAGTTTATATCTTCAAATATAATTTTTTTTAATGAACCCGTGTAGTACACGGGTTTTTCACCTACTATTGTAATAAAAAAAAGTTGTAGTAAGTAGTCCATTGTTATTTGTACGGAATGTGTTTGATGTTTTTTTGAAGAAAAATAAAACATTAATATCCAATACATTAGTTACAATCAAATTCCAATACGGATGGAGTTAGGGGCACAATACCCATTAGTCGTCCTATTTGTTCCGCCCCTAATCGTGAGTATGTTTTAGATGCACGGTTTTCTTGTGGGTGATATATTGTCCTTACTCTCTTCATCTCTATTGACCAACATCTATTTTTTTTAGCTTTTATATATATATATATATATATATATATATATATATATATATATATATATATATATATATATATATATATATATATATATATATATATATATATTAAAATTTATGATTTTTAATTCTCTAAAAAAGATTATAATATTGGTATAAAATATTCTAACACCGTAAAATTTAAAACAATTTTTTTTGCATTTTAAACATATTTTCTAAACACAGTTATTAACAAAATCTCATTGTACCATAACTTTGTTTCACAAAATGTTTCCTAAGATCAAAATACATAAAACTCATGCGTGTGTACAAATCATGCCGCCGCCTTCCCGCGATCATCACTGGTACCTGAAACACATAACACATAACACTGTAAGCATAAAGCTTAGTGAGTTCCCCAAAATACCATACATAACACATACTAGTCACTCGAGGCTATAACTTTGTGGGCCCATGGGCCTTAACTCTGTGGACGCTCTGGTCCTAGCTCTGTGAACATTCCGGTTCTAACTCTTATATACTCTAATATACACATGGCATAAATCACCTAGACATAATGCAGTGCAACACATCACATAATAGCATACAGTAACTCTGTCACATGACTCTAATTACCCTCAAGGTAAAGTATAGTGAGAAGACTCACCTTAGATGTCTCGGTAGATCTCTGACTCGGTAGATATACGATCTAGCCTCCACCTAATCACATAAAGTAATACTCTGATAAATATAACTCTCTAGACTCAACCCTCTTTAGGCACCCTCAGAAGGGTAAAAGACCATTTTACCCCTCCTTTGGCTCAAAGGCCCTCATTGTTGACTAAACCCTAAAAGTCAACCAAAGTCAATGGTCAAACTTTGACCCGACTCGTCGAGTGCACTTGGGAAACTCGGCGAGTCCACACGTGTCCACTAAATCCCTAGTCTCACTTGGCATGTCGAGTCCCTCCCTTTGCTCGACGAGTTACACCTGACATGAATCGCGGGGCTACCCCGACTCAACTCGCTGAGTCTCAAGATCAACTCGGCAAGTTCCATCTTGAACTCCAGTCCTCTAATTCCTCTCTGACTCACTGAGTTATTCCCCCAAGTTGGTGAGTCTACTCGCTGAGTGATTTACGAGAAACCCTAACCCTACTCGTCGAGTCTGATCTTTGGACTCGGCGAGTTCATGCCATGCAAAAAACTCCATTGACCTCCTGAGGTCAGATCTGTTCCTTAAACCCATAGATCTGACCTTCCCAAGCATGATAATCACGTAAAGTTTAGACGTTGACACTCATATAACATCTAAATGGTCCTACTTGGTGATTTAGCCCCAAAATAAACTCCTAAGTTCATGGCTCCCAAAATATGTAACGCCCCGATTCTCAGGTATTTTCCAATTGTAGTTTCTTGATTTAGCCCTACTCGACAAGTTGGTTGCTCTACTCGTCGAGTAGCAGCGAGATTGAATTGCAACTTAGGCGACTGACTCGGCGAGTCCA